AGCTCTATTTGGACGCGGCATCTCTCCCAGGACCAGCTTCAAAAATAACTATAGATAACTGGTAGAAGAGAAGCGCAGAACACGACCGCTCCCACGAGCAGAAATCAACAACAAAGCATCGCAATACGAATTATAGTATCTAATATAATAATATATACATTCACATACAACAACAAAGTATTCAATAGCCTATTTTCCAGAAAAGTTTACCTAAATCTCAATAGTAATGACAACCCAGCTCAGTGCAGCATAGTTTCAGAATCTATAGAAAATGTCTGAGAATGGTGGATGGCAGTACTTGGTTTTTTTCACAGTTAACAAAGGACCTACGTGTTACAGGTTTGCTGCTTTGTATTGAAATGCAGTTTGCTTACAGACGAGGCCTCTGTGCAGCCTCCAATCCTTCCATAATGCTGTTATTTACTCACCATCAATAATTCAGTGTGAAAAGAGGGAAGCTGCCCGGCATGTGACGTCACAGAATCCCATTTTTTATCAAACTTTGGCGCGCAGGAACGTCGTCTTGCGATAACTGGAAGCAATACTTTGACTAGTAATATCATGGAATACATCTCTAACTAATAAATCAAATTGGATAGTTTACATGGAAATAAAATTGGTATGGAACAGGTCGACACACCTGGTTATTGATCCGCAAGCTAACCCCTATACAGTGAACATTGAAATCCATGAAGGTTGTCAGTAGGAGAAATTTGAAGATTACAAGTTGTGAGAAGTCAGCTGTAATTGTCCAGAAACATTTCTTATAAATTGTTACCCTGGAAGGCAATTAAAATGGTTTTACAAAGCATTGGGCAACTATATTCAAGGAAACCAAGAAATGGTGAGATCCTATAAGATCACCTGAGCAAATCAGATTGCTATTGCAACTCCTTCCCCCCGTCCCCCCTTTTCCCTCTCTCTCTCTCTCTCTCTCTCTCTCTCTCTCTCTCTCTCTCTCTCTCTCTCTCTCTCTATCTCTCTCTCTCTCTCTCTCTCTCCTTACCACTAGGTGGGAGAATGATGTTGCTCTAGGCCTCTCATGCTGTAATTGCAAATACTTCTTCAAGAACATTGCAGTGCTAAGAATGAAATTCAGGAGACCCCAAGCAGGTGTCATAAGACAGTTCAGCCAAGAAAGACGAAGCCAGCAGCTGGATACTGCAGTCAACCACGATTTTAAGTTAACCTAACCCATCTCTCACCTGGGTATTACTTGGAGTATACCTGGAGGAGGTTTCAGGGGGTCAACGCACCCGCGGCCCAGTCAGTGACCAGGCCTTGTGGTGGATCAGGGCCTGATCAACCAGGCTGTAACTGCTGTCCGCACATAAACCGACATACAAGCCACAGCCCGGCTGATCAGGCCCTGACTTTAGGTGCCTGTCCAGCGCCTTCTTGAAGACAACCAGGGGTCTATTGGTAATCCCTCTTATGTATGCTGGGAGGCAGACGAACAGTCTTGGGCCTCTGACACTTACTGTGTCTCATAGCACCCCTGCTTTTCATTGGGGGTATGTTGCATCTTCTGCCAAGTCTTTTGCTTTCGTAGGGAGTGATTTTCGTGTGCAGATTTGGGACCAATCCCTCTAGGATTTTCCAAGTGTAACTTTTCTATCTCGCCTGCGTTCCAGGGAATACAAATTAAGGGACTTAAACCCTTCCCAATAATATAGGTGCTTTATCGTACTTATACGTGTCGTGAAAGTTCTCTGCATATTCTCCAGGTCCGGAATTTCGCCTGTCTTGAAAGGGCTGTTAGTGCGCAGCAATATTCCAGCCTAAAGAGAACAAGCGATTTGAAGAGAATCATCATGGACTTGGCATCCTATTATTTTCCTAGCAGATGTAATACTTAAACAAGATGGGTCCTACACAGATGACAGCAAGGAAATGAGTGAGCTACTCAAGTCCAATATGACTCAGTTTTTAGCAAGCCGCTAACCAGACTGAGAGTCGAAGATCAAAATGAATTTTTTATGAGAGAGCCACAGAATTTGGTTAACACAAACCTATCCGATGTTATCCTGACGCCAAATGACTTCGAACAGGCGATAAATGACATGCCCATGCACTCTGCCCCAGGGCCAGACTCATGGAACTCCGTGTTCATCAAGAACTGCAAGAAGCCCCTATCACGAGCCTTTTCCATCCTATGGAGAGGGAGCATGGACACGGGGGTCGTCCCACAGTTACTAAAAACAACAGACATAGCCCCACTCCACAATGGGGGCAGTAAAGCAACAGCAAAGAACTACAGACCGATAGCACTAACATCCCATATCATAAAAATCTTTGAAAGGGTCCTAAGAAGCAAGATCACCACCCATCTAGAAACCCATCAGTTACACAACCCAGGGCAACATGGGTTTCGAACAGGTCGCTCCTGTCTGTCTCAACTATTGGATCACTATGACAAGGTCCTAGATGCACTAGAAGACAAAAAGAATGCAGATGTAATATATACAGACTTTGCAAAAGCCTTCGACAAGTGTGGCCATGGCGTAATAGCGCACAAAATGCGTGCTAAAGGAATAACAGGAAAAGTCGGTCGATGGATCTATAATTTCCTCACTAACAGAACACAGAGAGTAGTCGTCAACAGAGTAAAGTCCGAGGCAGCTACGGTGAAAAGCTCTGTTCCACAAGGCACCGTACTCGCTCCCATCTTGTTCCTCATCCTCATATCCGACATAGACAAGGATGTCAGCCACAGCACCGTGTCTTCCTTTGCAGATGACACCCGAATCTGCATGACAGTGTCCTCCATTGCAGACACTGCAAGGCTCCAGGCGGACATCAACCAAATCTTTCAGTGGGCTGCAGAAAACAATATGAAGTTCAACGATGAGAAATTTCAATTACTCAGATATGGTAAACACGAGGAAATTAAATCTTCATCAGAGTACAAAACAAATTCTGGCCACAAAATAGAGCGAAACACCAACGTCAAAGACCTGGGAGTGATTATGTCGGAGGATCTCACCTTCAAGGACCATAACATTGTATCAATCGCATCTGCTAGAAAAATGACAGGATGGATAATGAGAACCTTCAAAACTAGGGAGGCCAAGCCCATGATGACACTCTTCAGGTCACTTTTCTATCTAGGCTGGAATATTGCTGCAACTCTAACAGCCTTCAAGGCAGGTGAAATTGCCGACCTAGAAAATGTACAGAGAACTTTCCGGCGCGCATACGATAAACACCTCAATTACGGGGAGCGCTTGATGTTTCTAACCTGTATTCCTGGAAACATGAAGGAGAGAGTAATGTTATAACCTGGAAAATCTAGAGGACTAGACCGAACGCACACGAAATCACTCACTACGAAGCAAATGTCTTGGCAGACTGCACATCCCCAATGTGAAACAACAGGGTGTCACTAGCACGTTAAGGACCATAAATAAGTGTCTGGGGCCCGAGACTGTTCAATGCCTCCACGGGCACACATAAGGGGGATTACAAACAACCCTGCAGTTTCAAGCTGGCGGAAGCCCTAAGTCAGTTCCTGATCAGCCGGGCTGTGGCTCGTACGTTGAGTTGCGTGCAGCAGAGCAACAGCCTGGTTGATCAGCGTGATCCACCGGAGGCCTGGTCACTAGACGGGCGGGGGCGTTGACCCCGAAACTCTCTCAGGAAAAACCCCACGTACTACGAAAGCAAAAGACTTGGCAGACGATGCAACATCCCCCCAATGAAAAGCAGGGGTGTCACTAGCACGTTAAGAGACCATACAATAAGTGTCAGGGGCCCGAGACTGTTCAACTGCCTCCCAGCATACATAAGGGGGATTACCAACAGACCCCTGGCAGTCTTCAAGCTGGCACTGGACAAGCACCTAAAGTCGGTTCCTGACCAGCCGGGCTGTGGCTCGCACGTTGGTTTGCGTGCAGCCAGCAGTAACAGCCTGGTTGATCAGGCTCTGATCCACCAGGAGGCCTGGTCACAGACCGGGCCGCGGGGGCGTTGACCCCCGGAACTCTCCAGGTAAACTCCAGGTTTGTCCGCTTGGAGACTTCAGCTATTTTCGATGGATGATACTGCTATGGCTTACATCTCTATGTCAGATAAGATGACGAGAAATGGGATGAGAGCGAGTACTACTTTGTGAAACAGCTTTTCACTGTAGCTGCCTCTGGCTTTACTCTGTTTACTGTTACTCTGTTTTCTATTTGTTAAGAAGTTATAGATCCATCTACCAACTTTTCCTTTTATTCCTTTATCACATATTTTGTGCGCTATTACACCAAGAGATAAGATGACGAGAAACGGATGAGAGCGAGTACTGTACTTTGTGAAACAGCTTTTCACTGTAGCTGCCTCTGGCTTTACTCTGTTTACTGTTACTCTGTTTTCTATTTGTTAAGAAGTTATAGATCCATCTACCAACTTTTCCTTTTATTCCTTTATCACATATTTTGTGCGCTATTACACCATGATCGCAATTGTCGAAGGCTTTCGCAAAGTCTGTGTATACTGTCTGCATTTTGTTTGTACTCCAGAGTATCCAAAACCAAAAACAAAACAAAACAAAATTATATTTCTTTGCAAAGGTTACAGTGCGTGTTTACATTTCATAATTTGATTGGAACAAAGAAAACCACTCATACTGGGGCATGTCGGACAGACAACCTAATACTTAAAAACTACTTAAGTCTAGACAGATAAGGAGTGGTAAATTTCAGATATTCACTATTTTACTCTATTATTAATATGAGGTAGCCAAATTTTTTAGTTAATAAGCTTCATAGTTTAATGTAGACGAAACTGATAACAGTATTACCAGTAGTACAATTTATGATATAAACATCCCCTCAAGGAAGGTTCCTTGATGTTGGTGAGGGGCTCTTGATTTAGGGAATTGGATCTGTGCTCCAGTTCCCCGAATTAAGCCTGAATGCCTTCCACATCCCCCCCCAGGCGCTGTATAATCCTCCGGGTTTAGCGCTTCCCCCTTGTTATATAATAATAATAATATGATATAAACATACATTGTTATGTATGCAATAATGATTTAGTAGATTAGGCGTAATAAAATATTTAGGAGAGTTGCTTCAAAACTAGTTAGAGATTAGCATAGTGTGGGTATGGCTATTATTGAG